AATAAGGCTATTTAAACATAGGTGAAAAGTCACTCTAAAATTCAGATGATGAGAAGCTGAAAATATCAACCCCATATATCAAGAATGATGCTTCTCAAACTTTACGGCACAGAAGAATGTCCCATGAAACACGTAAAACTGCAGATTTTCAGCAGACTTCAGCCCCATCCCAAAAGTTCTGATTGGCTGGCACTGTCCCCTCAGATGTGAAGAAAACCTGCTCAGACCTCATTCAGTGACATATAAGCACCATCTCCAACTACCTCAAGGAATGGTTACTAAAGCAGAGTCAAACAAAATTTCATTTTAGTTCACATAAACATGAGAAAGCAATCTAGCAGTTTTAGGAATATACTGGGCCATATCAAAGGATACACATAAGTATATGGTGTTAATGGCCAATATATTGGGAAAGACCAGTCTCGTGAATTAATACAACTCTGAGCTTTTAGAAAAGCTTTTTCTGCATTTAAAGCATGTTATAGCTAAGAAGGCTTTTTTGCGTAAATACTTAGAAAAAGGAAAAAAATTACTCCAAATATAATTTCTACAAAAGAAGCTTCTTAGAAGACAATGACTCTAGGTAGACGTTGAAGAAAATCAGAAATAAATATTTAGAAAGACTTCAGTGATACACAACAGAGAGATGAGAAGAGGTTTTCAGGTAAGCTTACTGTACCAATGGAATTAAGCAGGAGATTGAAAGTAAAAGGATGGAAAACGGATGACAAGTAATACTGAATGTAAAATAGAGGGACTTGGTCCACGGGTGGGTGCTGGCTCAAAGTAAGGCAAATGCTAGCCTGACATGGCAACTCTTTTTAGGAAGGAAACTCAAAGGGAAGAAAAGGCTGAAGATGTTAATGTATAGGAATAACAGATCTGAGGCCAGCAAAATCAACTTAATCAGAAAAAACCTGAGATCTTAGATTAAGAGTGATATGATCCCCCCCACCAGTGAGAACAAGCAAAGTTCTGAACAAACGGCCTACGCTCTCTTTCACCCTATAGTCCACACAGAGTTCTGGTCCTCACCACAGTGCCTTAGGGAATGGAGCTCCCAGGATGCCCACTTGAGCTGGTTCTCCACAGCATCAAGCTCAGAACTTGGTAATCCCTGAGCTTCTTCTTGAGATACCATGTCTTCTACTAGTACTTCCCGTTTTCGTCGACGGACAGAAACCTGGAAACAAAAAGATGTGATTCAGAGAAGGAACTGTAATGAGAATCAGAACTAAAAACATGTAAGAGAAACCCCATAAAACAAATATTGCAGAAGCCTAGATGGCAAAGAAGCACAGATAACAGGGAGTGGTAGGGGCATGGGGGAAAAGGTATAAACATAATTCTAATTTAGTTGAGTGGAATTAATTCAGCAGCTTTGCCTACTACTATGCCAGTGCTTCTGACCCAGGAAATGACACAAGCAGGCTCACCGGTTGTCCAGGGTCATCAAGTTCACTCTCCAAATCCTCCAGCACCGTCACTGCCTCCTCTCCATTCTCTGGATGATGATCTCGAACCCAAGTCTGTAGCTCTTTGGGTAGGATGGCAACAAACTGCTCCAGCACTACCAGCTCTAAGATTTGCTCTTTTGTGTGCGTCTCTGGCCTGAGCCACAGACGGCAAAGTTCTCGGAGCTGGCTCACAGCCTCACGGGGCCCAGGTGAATCCTGGTATCCAAACTGCCTGAATCGCTGTCGGAAAATCTCTGGGTCTGGGAGATGGTTCCAGGGGATACTTGATCCCTCTTCGCCATCAGGATCCTCCTCCAACTTCACTCTCAGAATTTTTTCCTCTTCATCTGGAGTTGGGATGATAAGTATTGAATCTTCTTCCACTGACTGTGCAGACATTCTGATTTATAATATTTCAAGAAAATACAACTGAGGCAAAATATAAGCCTCAGGGCAATACCCCGTTTTCTTCACAGGCACTCCTGAGGCACAAGAAATAAAAGATATATAAATAAGCAAAAATATCCTAAGAATTTGGACTTACACTGGTAAAAGTAAAAGACACTTGTTCTTTGATGGAGTTAAAAATTCCAGTCAATAACCTACACCAGGAATTGGCAAACTACAGCTTCACGGCCAAATCTAGCCTGTCATCCATTGCTGTACAACACTTGCACCAATAATAATTTTCACATTTTTAAATGGCTGTGGTCTTCACCACAGTGCCTTAGGGAATGGAGCTCCCTAAAATCAAATGAATACCTAATGATATTTAGGGAATGGAGCTCCCCAAAGTCAAATGAATACCTCATGACAAGTGAAAATGATACGAAATTAACATGAATGTGTCCATAAAAAATTGTACTCACTCATACTTCACGCTACAATAGCAGAGTTGAGTAGTTTCAACAGACTAGATGGCCTTAAAAAACCCAACACAGTCATGCACTACAAAATGATGTTTGGGTCAATGAAGGACCACATAGATGACAGTGCTCTCATAAGATTATAATGGAGCTGAAAAATTCAAGATTCACCTAGTGACACTGTAGCTGTTGTAAGGTTAATGCATTATTCACATGTTTGTGGTGATGGTGGTGTAAACAAACCTGTTGTGTTGCCAGTTTAACACATAGTTATGTATGGTACATAAAACTTGATAACAACAATAAACGACTATGTTACTTGTTTATGTATTTACTATACTTTTCATACTATACTATTTTAGAGTGTGCTCCTTCTACTTATTAAAAAAAAAGTTAACTGCAAAATGGCTTCAGGCAGGTCCTTCAGGAGCTATTATAGAAGGCACTGTTATCACAGAGATGACAGCTCCATGCACGTTACTGCTACTGAAAACCTTCCAGTGGGACAAGATACGGAGGTAGAAGGCAATGATATTGATAATCCAGACCCTGTGTAAGCCTAAGCTAATGCATGTGTTTGTCTTAGTTTTTAACAAAAAAAGTTCCAAAAGGAAAAAAAAATAAAAACTGGCTAGGTGCAGTGGTTCACATCTGTAATCCCAGCACTATAGGAGGCTGAGGCAGGAGGATCACTAAAGACCAGGAGTTCAAGGTTCCACTGAGCTATGATAGCACCACTGCATTCCAGTCTGGGCAACAGAGTGAGACCCTGTCTCTAAAAAATGAATTTAAAAATAGCAAAAAGCTTGGCCTGGCACGGTGGCTCACACCTGTAATCCCAGCACTTTGGGAGGCTGAGGCGGGCGGATGACGAGGTCAAGAGATCGAGACTATCCTGGCCAACATAGTGAAACCCTGTTTCTACTAAAAATACAAAAATTAGTTGGGCGTGGTGGCTCGTGCCTTAGTCCCAGCTACTCGGGAGGCTGAGGCAGGAGAATCTCTTGAACCCGGGAGGTGGAGGTTGCAGTAAGCCAAGATTGCGCCACTGCACTCCAGCCTGGTGACAGAGCGAGACTCTGTCAGCAAAAAGCTTACAAAATAAGGATATAAATATATTTATACAGCTGTACAATGTGTTTGTATTTTAAGCGAAGTATTATCACAAAAGAGTAAAAAAGTTAAAAAAAAAAAAAAAGTAAAAGTTTGTAAGTGAAAAAGTTCTGTAAGCTAAGGTTAATTATTGAAAAAAAAAGTTTTCTTAATAAATTTAGTGTAGCCTAAGTGTTCAGTGTTTATATAATCTATAGGAGTGTACAGTAAAGTCCTAGGCCTCCAAACTCACCACTCACTCACTGACTTCCTAGAGCAACTTCCAATCCAGCAAGGTCCATTCATGGTAAGTGCCCTGTACAGGCATACCTTTTTTTTTTTTTTTTTTTTTACACCTTTTATATCATCTTTTACTTATTTTTTCTATGTTTTGATACACAAATAGTTAGCATTGTGTTACAGTTCTCTACAGTATTCAGTACAGCAACATGCTGTACAGGTTTGTAGCCTAGGCACAATAGGCCATACCAGATAGCCTAAGTGTGTAATAGGCTACGCCACCTAGGTTTGTGTAAGTACATTCTACGACGTTCGCACAAGGATGAAATAGCCTAACACATTTCTCAGACCGTAGCACTATCGTTAAGTTATGCATGACCTTAATTACTATATGGCCACTTACAGAAAAAGTCTGCCAATCATGACCTACTATGACGACAAACCCTATGTCAATAATCAAAAGAATCCAAGTAAGAACCAGACTACTTCAGTGCTTTCTAAATGTGCCTGACCCTGGAATGCATTATTTGCAATTCAGGATTGGTGTTTCCTGACACACACAAGTCAACCAAAACGAAGGTTTGCTTTATTATTATGTGCTTAAAAAAATTTTACCACTTAAAAAATATTTTTAAGGTATTTAAGAACTCCTTGGACTTAAAATATATGTGGAAAAAATGTTCACTTGCTGAGTAACAGATCACATAATATTGAAAAGATCATATGTGAAAAACAGATCACATAATTTTGAAAAATTATCTTGCATATAATACGTAAATATTCAGTCTTCCACCACACCATACGTACATTTATATTTATAATGATAGGCATTAATCACAGAAAATTCTATTAAGAAAAGGCACTCGCATATGTACCTTAACTTCTTGCAGTGGTCCAGTGTCTTGTCCTTACACTGGATGACTCACAGTTTCCCCAGTTCTACTTTCAGGGAAACTGTGTGCTGTTTCTGGACCTTTATTATTTGCACTATCATGCCCGTGCTGTTGTTTACGACACATACTAGCAATGAGCCGTGCAGCCTATGAACAACAACTTAAAAAAACTTATCGTAACCCAAGCAAGATGAAGACTGGAATCAGAAAAGGCCTTATCAGACAAGTAATACATACTGGTTTAATTAAATACCCTGGAGTGTGGTGGCCTTATAAATAAGGTCTAGCCAACATTGATTTGTTCCTATTCCAAGACCCTGCTTATCAACGGTGCAACTATTTCTACATATATTTCTCTTCCTTTTATGCTGTAGAGCATACTGCTTGTGGGAAATGGAGGGAAGGCCGACGGTCCCGACAATGTTTGGTCAGAGCACCTCGTTCCAGGTGATCGCCCACCTTACTGCTGCATAGACCCGCTGTGTACCCCGATCCCGGCCAGTCCTCTAGCCCCTCTTCCCAGCACTCAGGACGGCGGATTTCAGATGACCAAAGACCACCTTGTGACAACAGCGTCGGAACCACGGCACTTCCGCCTGCGGCCGGTGGGACTACAAATCCCAACAGCCCCGCGTAAGTCTCGCCCCACTACCACCTCCTCCCAACACGACTCCCAGAACCCTCCGCGAGACGCCAGGGCCTCGAAATAGAACAAAACCGGCCGGTGGGGGAGGGGGAAGGTGAGGGTCTCGGAGGATACCGGGGGTTAGAGAGCTGTCTGCAGACGCCGAAGACCCAAGCAAGCCTGCCGCCTACCTCTCCGCGCCCCACAACTGCTAGGCGCGGAGAGCGCGGCCTGTTCCCCGCGCCTCCCGGGAAGCTGAGGAAGGTCCCGGGAGGGCTTCCCCGCCGGCTCCTGCTAAGAGGTCCGCAGACCCTAGCCCGGTGTCCCCCTCCCTCTCATAACGTTCCCCGCACACCGGCGCAAACCTCTGGCTCAGGAACCGCAACAGCTTCGCTGTCCACGGCAGACGCAGAAACGCCGTTCACAAGCCTTTTCCCAGAAGCCCCCGGCACGGGCTGCTTCCGGTCTGCGGGCCTGAGGAGGCGGGGAGAGGTAAAGCCCACGTTGCCATGGAGAAGCGCCCCGGGCGGGGGAGGGGCGGCCCCACGACAATGACCGCATTGAGGCTGCGCTTGGCCTCGCGCCTCGAACAGCCTAGCGTCCTCTGGACCGTTTAAAAGAAAAGAAAAAGTAGAGGACTCTACCATTAAGATAGTCCTTACAGTTTCGCAAGCCCTTTCACGTGCATTATCTTGTGGATCCTCTCAGTAATCCCCTGCAAGAAGGAATAAAAGCGAGTATTTGTGAAAGCTTACTACATTGTGCCAGGCGCTCTCGTCGTGCTTTACATGTCATTTATTTTTTCACAAATAAATGATGTAGGAACTTTCATTATCCCCATTTCACAGCTGAGATAGTTGAGGCACAAATACAGTAAGTAACTTGACAAGAGCTCACAACTCATTTGTGGGTAGCAAGATTTGAAACCAAGACGTGATTCAAATCTTTGGCTCCCACTAGTTATGTCACGGAGCTTTATTCTGACCTATTTGTCAGGAAAACTAGATGAGACAGGTTAAGGGTTTTGGCAACGATGTCACGGTGAATTTGTAGAATGCATGGTCATCTTCAAGCTGGGCATTTTATACCATAAAACAGCTGCTGACACAATCATTTATTACAAATCAAACCACTTCACTCCCCTATTTAAAGCCCTCCAATTTATGCCATAATAATTTATGACATAAAAACTCCTTATAATGTCTTGTAAGTCCCCCGTGGTCTGTTGCCTGCCCGCACCCCCAGACCCTGGCGCCCCCAGTCACCTCAGCTCTTCAGCTCCGTGTGGCCCAAGATCCTCAGCCTCACCACCAGCCTTTCATGACACATGACCCTTCATGGCACTATTATTAATGGAAGTGATCTCATTTATTTACTTGTTTTTTGTTTTGTTTTGCCTTTAAGTCCCTTAAGGGCAGGGACTTTGACTGTCTTGTTCACCACAGCATCCCAGCCTAGACCCCGGAAGCTGACTGCCTGGTAAATAGAGAACACAATAAATGTTTGTTGAATAAATAAATGAATTGTGGGATGGTTACATCGCTGCCTTTAGTTAGGTCACATGATTGGCATCAGACACCACATAAAGGAACCCCTGTTGTTTAAGGATTGGTCAAAAGTGTAGATCCAACCTAACATAAGCATTTCAAGTTTCTCAGGCTTTGACTTTTTGCCTCATTCGGGAAAATGCCCTCTGCAAAGTGCCGTCAGGCTCTGCTGGATTCGTGCATGAAGAGAGCAAGTGAGCCAGCAGCTGATGGTATACCACTGCTTTTCACTCCGACCAGAGCTTTTCTCACAACCCGTGCTAACAACTTCTCTCTTCATTGCAGGAAGCTTCAGAAATCCAGCCTTTTCATTCTGCTACTTGGATACGGCCCCCAAGCAACTTGGCTGCTCTTTCCAACTTTTCCCTCTTTTCTGATTCATACAGGCTAGCTGAAGTCATTTTTGTTTTATGAGTTTTTATATCTAATTAATGTTGGAAAACAAAAATCTCAAACGAAACATTGGGGAAGTTAAAAATGTTGCAAAGTTTTATAAAACCCTTTTCCTGTGATTATATTCTGTTTGTTTTTGAGACAGGGTCTCGCTCTGTCACCCAGGATGTAGGGCAATGGTGCAATTTTGGCTCACTGCAGCTTCAACCTCCCGGACTCGGTGATCCTCCCACCTCAGCCTCCTGAGTAACTGGGCATTTTATACCATAAAACAGGTGCTGATGCGATCATTTAAAATTACAAATCAAACCACTTCACTCTCCTAATTAAAGGCCTCCATTTTATGTTGTAATAATTTATCTTGAAATGCTTGTGGAAGGCTGGACTTACACTTTTGACAAGTCCTTAAACAACGAGTGTGCTCCACCATGCCCAGCTAATTTGTTTGTTTGTTTGTTTGTTTTTCAGAGATGAGGTCTTCCTATGTTTCCCAGACTGCTCTCCAACTCCTGGGCACAAGTGACCCTCCTGCCTTGACCTCCTAAATTGCTAGGATTGCAGGCGTGAGCCACTGTACCTGGCCTCCATTCTATTCCTAATTCCTTCTAAAATACTACATGGAAACCACAGTGAGGTTTTCCTCACTAAGTTACTCTTTTGAAGGCAGACGCTAATAACGCCTGCTTTGAAACACCATCCTTCTGAGGTTCTCTGGGATTTTTTCTGAATGGTGGCCCTTGTTGCCATCTTAAAGATCTAGTCAAGATAAAACATCATGTTCCTCTGGACAACCTGAATGGAGGGAGCAGCTTCATACCAGGGCCTGACAATCTTGCACATATCCACATAGACCATATAGGCAATGCCTGAACCACAGCTGATCTGAGTCTTGGCAGAACACCTTGGTATCCTCCCAGAAGATGAGCGCAATGAGAGACTTGTAAGCAGCTACTGCAAGGCCATTTCCCACTCAGCTCTCTGTCTTCCAAACAGACTGTCATGAGGCAGTTTCTCATTGCTTCCCGGGTTCCAGTGAGCCATTCTGCCTTAGCCACTTAGAGTACAGCCACAGGTTATAACAAGGCTTAGCTGCAGCATGGCATTGACCCCTCAGCAGCAAGGTGTCCACAATGTATGCTGTAGTCATCCAGCCCCTTCTGCTTTGGTGTCATCATTTTGGTATCTGAGACAAAAGCTCATGGAGAACTGGCACTTGCTTTTGCTTTCAATGTCTGTGTAAATAATAATATGTCTAAATTCAAAAAGGGCTCATTTCTTTACCAGCTAAATCTTTCAATCTTGTCTTGATACCAAACATCTGATTCATTAATTAATGGTAAAACAAACAAAACTACCAGACAGATACTACCTGGGTACCAGAAATACAGAGATTAATAAAATGAAGTCATGATTCCTTCTTCGTTTTTCCCTTTAAAAGAGATGGGGTCTCACTCTGTTGCTCAGGCTGGAGTGCAGTGGTGTAATCACAGCTTGCTGCAGCCTCAAACTCCTGGTAGGGATCCTCCCGCCTCAGCCTCCTAAAACGCTGGGATTACAGGTGTGAGCCACCATGTCCAGCTTGATTCCTTCTTTTAACATTACCATCTCTTATTAAGGAAATAAACAGCAACAACAAAAAAAAACAAGTATTCACAAGGCAGTGTAGAGTGCTACTGGAGAAGAACAGAATGCCTGTAAGGGCTCCTAAATGAGATGGTGTGCTGAGAGGGAAGGGAGGCACCCTGAAATGGAGGAAGCCAGCAAGAAGTTTTCAGGCTGGGCATGGTGGCCTGCACCTTTGGTCCCAGCTACTCAGGAGACTGAGTTGGGAGGATTGCTTGAACCTGAGGGGTTGAGGATGCAGTGAGCTGTGATCGCATCACTGTACTTAAGCCTTGTGGACAGAGCAAGATCCTTATCAAAAAGGAAAAAAAAAAAAAAAAAGTGTTCACATTGGAAGGAAGGCATAGACCTTCAGATTTGGTGTTATCAGATTCCATCCAAGACTGATTTTTTTCCAGGCTTTGGAGCTCTCAATCCCCTTCAGCTCAAAAGTATCTCCCTCTGGGCGCTTTCAGTACATTGCTTAAAGATTCCATTTTAGCTAGTAAGTATACAGTATGAGGAGTCTTTTGATTGCAAAACCTAACAGGCAAGCATTGTTAGCTTCCTACACAAAGTGCTTCCCCTTACTTCTAATACACTCCTGATTTTTTGGATGGAGAGCTGGGAGTGTGCCCAGCTGTAAGAATAAATTGTAATTGAGCTAAGCTATCCATGACCATTCTGCTTCCCTGTGCCAGATACTGCTTTGCCTTGCCGGCAGCGAGGAATGAGTATGTGATTCATTTCTGGTCCATGAGATATAAGGGGAAATAGTTTGTATCTTTGAAGAAATTTATCTAATTCATTTAAGTTGTCAGATTTATTGGCATAAAGTTCACAATTATTTCCTTAATATCTTTTAATGTCTAATAATACTAAATAGTTCCTTAATATCTTTTTAATGTTTGTAGAGATGTCCCCTCTTTCATTCCTGACATTGCTAATTTCTGGTTTCTTTTTTCTTAATCAAGACTTCAAGTTTTGCGCGAGGCTTATCAATTTTATTAATTTTTCAAAGAATCAACTTTTGGCTTTATTTGTTTCATTATTCTCTATGGAGTTCTTCTCTTTTAATAAAATTAACTGACAGCAAAATATGGCACTTTTGGCGGGGGGCAGATATTTCTGAGTTTTAGATTTGTGAAATGACCACCAAAATCATGATACAGAATAGTTCATTATTCTGTAAAACTCCATCAAGTTGTACTCACGCCTTTGCCACATCCCTAATTCATGGCAACCATAGATTTGTCATCTGTCACAATAGTATTGACTTGTCCAGAATGTAATAAAAATGGAATCATAAGGTATGTAATCTCTTAAGGCTCGTTTCTTTCATTCATCATAATGCCTTTGAGATTCATCTATGTTGCCATACGTATCAATAGTTGATTCCAGTGTATTTTTCACTTCAAAAATTTCTATTCGTTTCCTCTTTATATCTTCCATTTCTTTCCTGATATATATCCTTCCATTCATTCACCCTTACTTTCAAAGCATGGTTATAAAACTTGCCTTAAAGTTTTTTCTGTGAATCCTAACATCTGTATCATCTAGGTGTTGGCATCACTTGATTTTTTTTTCTCTTGCAACTTGAGATATTCCTGGTTCTTTCTGTGCCTAGTAATTTTGCATTGTATCCTGCACATTTTCAATATTATGCTGTCAGATCCTGGGTATTTAAGTCGTAAGGAGAATGTTGATGTTTTTGTTTAACAGGTAAATGCCCTAATTAGGGTCAGATTGCGAGTTCTGATCTGCACTGTGTGGGCTGCAGTTTCAATGTCAGTTCAGGTTTCAAACATTTCCAGTTCAATTTGGGTCTTTGTGTGTGCCACCCAGTGGCCAATCTGGGGCCTAAGCGGTAGTCTATCTTGTAGCTCAGTTCTCAATGCTTGTGATGTGCCAGTTAGGGTCAGCTCCACACATGTGAAGTTTAGAGGTGAGCAGACGGGCTCTTACAAAACTTTAGGGGATCTCATTTGATCTCCATCCTCTTTGCAATAACTTTATCACTTTCCTGGCTCCCTGGGGCCTCTCTTACCAGTTTTTCAGCTAGAAAGCTGAGATTTTAGTTTCCTGGTTTAGTTCTGCTGTTTACTTCTCCCAACTGCATTCTGAATCCTGGTCCAAGCAGCCAGAGGACACAGAGAAAATAAAAGCAATGGGGATTTGCTCCATGCTTCTGGGACTAAAGCAGCTCTGTTCAGAACAAAGTATTCCTCTCCCTCTGAGTTTAAAGTGCCTTCCCACAGCCTGGGTGACACAGTGAGGCCCTGTCTCTAAAATAAATAGATAATTAAATAAATTAATTTAATTAAATGCCTTCTCAAAGACTACTGCCATTGCAGTGCTGCTGACGCGAATGCTACTGTCATAGTATTCCTTGAAGACTGGGGTAGAAGAGAAGGGAAATAAAGCAAAAAATACTGTATATGGGATTTCCCCATTCTCTCTGACCCTTAGAACCCCCCTTTCCCACTCCAAACTTTATTAGGGCAGGGATTTTTTTTTTTTTTTTAAAGCAGCTTCATTTTTGTTTCTTCCAATACTTTTGTTTTTCATTGTGATAAAATATATGTAACATAAAAATTGATCATTTTAACCATTTTAAGTGTACAATTCCTTAGGCCAGAAACAGAATTCTTATCTTGGAACTTTCTCTTCATTCTCGGTGTGCACTTCTGGGTTTCAAGCTGCCTTTGAGTCTAAGAAAAAGAGATGCCAAGTGGAGAAGATAGTGAATTCAGTGCTAGTTTAGTAGATTTCAAATTCTGTCCTCCTTCCCCAATCTGCTTGCTGTCATTTACTTTGAAGAGTCCTCAGATTTTGTCCAAACTTTCCAATTAGTGTGAGAGATGGGGTCAGGAGGAGTGTGCTTACTCTATCCTCCCTGGAGTCAGAGCCTCTGTTCTTGTTTTTCTCATTCTATGCCCCCTCCTACTTACTTGGCTTAAGTTGCTTTTTTGTTTTTTTCCCCTCTTTATTAATGTGGATGATTAGATAATTGACTTTAAATATTTATTCTCTTCTAATAAAGCTATTTAAAGGAATGGTACATCAGGGCTTCAGTCTTGCTTTCCTGTAGTTTTCTATTTTTTCCCTTCACATTTATCTGCTTAAAATCCTGCAGTTTTCATAGCTCTTTCCTCCACATGTATCAGCTTCATCTTCCAGCTGATGCAGCATTTCCTAGCATTGTAACCAGTCACAGTAACATGTGGGAATAGGACAATATCATCTGTCTCTTTTTTTTAGAAGAAAGCAAGCTTTTCCCAGAAGTCATGGGGCAGGCTTCTCCTGATGTCTCATTGGCCTGGATTGGGTGAAATACTCATTCCTAAACCAAAAGCAGAGAGGTGGAATTGTTTTTGTTTTGTTTTAATTTTTTTTCTTTTTAAAAAGATGGGGTCTTGCTTTGTTACCCAGCTGGTCTTGAACTCCTGAGCATAAGCAATCTTCTGGCCTCAGCCTCCCAAAGTGCTAGGATTACAGGTGCGAGCCACCATGCCTGGCCCACAGGTGGAATTGGATGATCATGATTGGCTTGGACTAATCATTTGGGGTAGAAAAAATATTAAGTCAAACCGTAAAACCACCTAGGTAACAAGACTAGTAATAGCCAAAAAATAAAAAACAAAGTTTAATAGGCTGATCCAGTTCTGATGCAGCACATTAACTTGTCCAACTGGAGATATTCTACCTAGAATCCTGACAACTACTTCTAAGATGGATAGAATTGAGCCTCCAAAGCTATATAGGAAAAGATACCAAATGTCTATGTGGTTGATCATTAACTATGACACTGGAGTTCCACACCTTATGCAAGCTGTCTCCCAATGTCATTGTCACCTTTGAATAAAAATGACACTTCAGTTGAAGACAAACCATTTAGATTCAAAGACAACTAAGATTAATACACCCAGACAATAATGTACATACATTGAGCAAAATCTCAGGAATCAGCAAAGTAATTAAACATATAGCTTTATACAAGAAAATAATTTTGAATCTAAGAAATTACAACCAACCTTTATGTTATTTCCTAGCCATTCAGGATCTGTGGCCTATATGATCCATTTGAACATTCCTCCAGGGCTCCTTAGATAATCTCATCATCCCCTGTCCTCAATGTTTAGTGGCAAAGGGAACATTATTTGGGCTTACAGTCAGTCCTTTCACCAAGGACATCTGGATTTTATCTTTCAGATTCTTTGCTTTTGAAAAACATTCTTTCCACAGGATTTTTTTTACTTTGCTAGAATATAAGCTTTATTATGGCAGGGATTATAAAAAAGCAGCTTCATTTTTGTTTCTTCCAATGCTTTTGTTTTTCATTGTGATAATACATACATAGCAAAAATTTATCATTTTAACCATTTTTAAGTGTACAATTCAGTGGTATTAAGAACATTCATAATGTTATTCAACTATCACCACTCTACATTTCCAGAACTTTTTCATCATCTTAAACAGAAACCATGTATCCACAATTAACTTCCATTCCCCCTTCCCTCTAGCCCCTGGTAATCATTATTTGACTTTATGTCTTTACAAATTTGCCTATTGTAGGTTCCTCAAATAAGCAGAATCATATTTGTCCTTTCTTGTCTGGCTTATTTCACTTAGCATAGTGTTTTTAAGATTCATCCTTGTAGTATGTATCAGAATTTCATTTGTTTTTATGGCTGAATAATACTCTCTTATATGTCTATACCAAATTTTGTTTCTTCATTCATATGTAGACGGTCATTTGTGTAGTTTCCACCTTTTGGTTATTTCAAATAATACTGCTATGAACATTGATATACAGATACCTGTTTGAGTCTCTGCTTTCAGATCTTTTGAGCATATACATAGAAGTGGAATTACTGGATCATATGGGAATTTTGTTTAACTTTTTGAGGAACCACCAAACTGTTTTCCATAGCAGCTACACTATGTTACATTCCCAATGGCAATGCACAAAGGTTCCAATTTCTCCTCATCTTTTCCAAAACCTGTTTCTTTTTAAAATAATTATCATCCTGACGTTGTGAAGTGGTATCTCGTGCTTTTGATTTGCATTTCCCTAATGATTAGTGACGTTGGACATCTTTTCATGTGCTTCTTGGCCATTTATGTATCCTCTTTGGACAAGTGTCTATTCATGACCTTTGCCCATTTTTGAAATTTCTGTTGTTGAGTTGGAGGGGTTCTTTATATATTCTAGATAGTAATCCCTTATCAGATACATAATTTTCAAGTATTTTTGTTCCACAAGTATTTGAGTGCCTATTATGGGCCACGTACTGTGCCAGATGCTTAGGAAACAATGGTAAATGAATGAGGCAGCTCATGCTCTCAAGCAACATGAAATAGTGGAGTCAATACAGAAATAGATATAATCTCCATTTAACAGGGCAAAAAGTTATCACATTGCTTCTCAAATGAGCAAAGGAAAATGTAGTTTATTTTTTATAACTGATAATCTTTTTTTCTTGAATCCCTGCCCCACTGGGTGGGTGGGTGGGTGGTGAAAGAGCTGAATTAAATTGTTATATTTAGTTATTAATTATTAAATTGAATTATTCAGTCCATTTTAAGTTCAACTCCCTCTCATGGCTATTTCTCACTCTGCCCTTTTCTGCCATCTGCTTGAGAAGGTGAGGGGGGTGTACATTCCCTGTGACGAGGTGGTGCTATGGATTGGGTGTTAGGTGGGCTTGCTGTTCTGATCTTCTCTGGTTTTTATTCTGGGCAGCTAGTCTTCTGTGGTGCTTGCTCACCAAACCTGCGGCAACAAATCATCTGTTTGTTTTGGTTGGGCTGGGGATCAGTGTCTCTTCCTTGGTGATTTGCCTCCACTTTGTTTCTAGGAAGAGCTATAGGTCCCCATTAAGCTCTGGTGGGCCCTGCAGCTCTTTGCTACAGGATCCACAAGGTTACTCGCTCAACTATCCCAACTTTCCAGCTCTATAGTCAGCTGTTTTCCAAGGTTCCCACCGGGTACAGAAAACTGCCATATCTCTTTCAAGCCACATACTAGCTGACAGAGGCCATTTACCTAACACGGAATTGCCGTTTTTATGAGAGTTCAGTGTTGGAGTACCAGCAGTCTGTTCAACAATTTTCCTCCCAATGCACTCAATGGCAAGGGGGCATAGCCCTCTCCCCTTGATTCTCCCCTAACCCCCTCCACAGTTCTGCAGGGGTTGGGCAACAGAGGTGAAAGGACACCCTGTGCCTGACCCTCTCATTGTCTCACTCACTCTTTCCAGGACTAGGAGAGCCTTAAAAATATTTCTTTTTGCTACTCTGTAACTTTTTCCACCCCAAGGTGTCATTTATTCTCCTCTTCCTTGCAGCCATATTTGCAATTTAATACTTTAAAAATATTTTATTTCATGAGATTAATGGTAAGGATAAGAACAGACTGATATGCAATTAACATAAGAGTGTGCCAGTGCTCCCCAACCTACTCTTTGGGTGTTAGGGAAGAAGTGGTACCTAAACTAAAGCATGCAGAATACACAGGAATTAGGTAACATGCGAAAGCTAGATAGGCGTTCAAAAAGAGTACATGGAAAGGTCCAAAGGCTGGAGGACTTCTGACAGTTCAAAATGGCTGAAGCACAGAGGCAATGGCAAGAGCTGAAGCTGAAGTGGTAAGCTGTGGTCAGATCACAAAGAGCCTTAAAAATCTTGTTTAGCAGTTTTGACTTTATCCTAAAACAAGGGAAAGCCTATGTCTTAGACAGGAAAAGGGCATGATAAAATGTATGCCTTAGCAAGGTAACTGGTTGAGAGATGAATGCATATGAAGAGGGCAAAGTTAAGGGTCACATAATTCCCCTCACTCAGGGACTGGCCACCATCTTGAACTTTGCCAGTGTGAGCTGGAAAAATATAGGGTAGGAGGGAGGGTCACAACAGCATATTTAAGTGTTAAAGGGATAGATGCAGAAGGAAGGCAGAGAGTGAAGAAATAGAAGAGAGGAAGAATGACTGGAAGCCAAGGCCTTTCAGAGGTGAGAATGCTGTGAGGCTCAGAGGGGAAAGACCCCTCTCTCATTCTCAGAAGAGGGAAAGGAAATGATGGGTAAAGTGTAAATAATTTGGCAAATTTAGTCACAGGAACTTGTAAGAGTTCTTATCTTTTTTTCCTTTAATGCAGGAAGCAAAACATAGTTGTCCGCTCATAAGGAGTAAGGTGGCAAAGGATTAGTATGGCAAACACAGTTGGCTAACCCAATGTCGTCCTCAACCCCCATCTGCCCTGCTTTCCCTCTAGAGGTTGAAAATGCTTGCCCTACCAGACACACTTGTAACAATGAAACATAAGCAAGATTTTGATAGGGTTTTTGGAAAGCTTTTTGCTTAGCATGGCTTTGTCCTTTCTTCCTGACTTAATCCCAGTTCCTAGAGCTGTGACAGCTCTCTCGAAAATCGGACAAAATAGCATGAGGTAAAGCTAGACCAGTCATCATTCCAGTTGCTGATTGAGAGCCAGCAACCCACCTTCCAGATTTCGGGTTGAAAATTCCTATTTGTTTAAACCACCAAAGATGGATTTTGCATCCAGAAGCATTCCTAACACAGAAAGGCTTGCTGTGTTAAGCCACTGTTGTAAGGACAGTGATGAACATTGGACTTGGTCTCTGAAGAGAATGGGAGTGGTATACAAAACCAAAACCAAAACCAAACAAACCACAAAGGAGTATTGGTAACCTTGAAGGCCCAGATAAAGTGAAAGCCATAAAACAATACCAGTTTCATTTTGGAGTATTTACTATCCCTGAAAATTAATCAATATAATGGTTAATAATAAATGCTAATAAAATGCTAATTTTTAAAACCAAGGTTAGCTCAACTAATTCTCCTTTTATATAAACTAGTACCATTCACTCATTAGGATACCTACATAACTGCGAAATTCGAAGTACACAGAAACACCCTTTAAAGATTCATCATAGACGATAAGATTCACACCACTTTCTGGTGAAGACATTCAAATTATTCACAATAAACAGAATGCAACCTTACAAAGTTGACAGCAGCACCAAGTGAAGATAGGTGCTTCCTTCAAAATACTTGATTTACATTCTGCCATCTTATTCACACAGAACCTAAGAAACTCTTTCCGTATTTAAGCAGTATACACATCTCTGAGGCATTTGTTGTTTCAACAGATGGTTTGTTCCTCTCCATAATTACAAAGAGAATGAGCCCCAAATAAAAAGCATCCTACATTTTTAGTGACTCAAAATACACACACCTCAATATAAAATTCATATTCACTACAGCTACAAATCATAATCACTATCAGAAAATTCTATAATAAAATGTACACTCACTTCTCCTTCTACTAATCTTATATTTATCAGCATAGTAACTAAGTAGAGTGTGGTAATTTCACATATTTGGAGCTCCTCTACGCCAATTTCTGGAGATACTCCAGAAGATATGGTTGGATTTTCCGAGAATGAAATGTTTTACACTTTATGGGGAACCCAACCAGACAAAGAAGTTGACTATGAGTCTTTTCCCTTATTCCAAGGACTTTGACTTCGGATGTTTGCCTCCATATTGGGTAACTGTAACACCATGGAAAACACAATACATGTATTATTGTAGTAACATTACAGAGTTTTATCAAGAATCTCTGGAAAAGAGATAATTATGTTGCTTGTATACCGTCAGAATAATTTTAATAATGTATGATTCAGTAATTTTATTTTTCAACAGGGAATCTGGCTGAATTAAATACAGGTAAAACTTATAGCTACTCATATCCCACAGATAAGCCAAATAAGATATCCCATAAATGTCTTAAAACTTATAAACGATAATGGTTAGGTTCAACAATTGTTTATAAGGGACTGCAGTGGACCCTTTACATTGAACTTCAGTGATTTGTCCATATGTACAAGAGCATCAAAACCAGGGTCTCATTTCATGACAGCATATCTAGAAACTCATCTTACTAAGAATGCAGACGACTCTGAAAAGGTTGTCTTGTGATGCTTGAAACATATTCATAGCTGATTTGTGCCAGAAAAAGGGACATTGAAGCATTGTCATCAGCAGTTAAGGGCTTCCTCTAGTTAAGCTGTGGTACATTTCTCCATCACACACTGTACTTGCCAACACTTGTGGTACATCACTCGTTTGACAATTTCGTTCATCTCCCTTTTTTCTTTATATTAAGATGATCATCATCTTAATTACAGAAGCACCCACAGAATAATATTGTTATGAAAACATTCCTTGTTTAGCTGACTCCTTGTAGACATGCAGTCATTTTCATGTTTCCATTGACTTATTTCCAAGTTACATTGCAAAGGAGATTATTTTTTTCCAACATAGGAAATTAACTTGATATCAGTAGTATGGAGGCTCTGGTGTACTTTCATAAGAGATTAAGGCCCTTTATCTATCTGCCTCCTGAAAGTGACCTGGGACACTTCAGCCTAGTCTTGAAGTACATATTATTTTGGGCCTCTGCAATCCTATGTTCATATTTTGAATCTGGTAACAGAAGACAAAATAAGAATTTTATTATTTTATTTTAGAGACGGAGTCTCGCTCCGTCTCTGAGGCTGGAGTACAGTGGCATGATCTCAGCTCACTGCAACCTCCGCCTCCCAGGTTCAAGCAATTTTCCTGCCTCCACCTCCCTAGTAGCTGGAATTACAGGCGCATGCCGCCACGCCTGGCTAATTTTTTGAATTTTAGTAGAGACGGGGTTTCACCATGTTGTCCAGGCTGGTCTTGAACTCCTGAGTTCAGGCAATCTGCCCGCCTTGGCCTCCCAAAGTGCTAGGATTACAGGCACGAGCCACCGCACCCAGCCAGGAATTTTTTTTGAGTGCTTTAATTTTTGGTCTTTAGAATTCTAGTGCTTAAGTTATGAAATGGAGGAGAATATCTATTTTTACACTGAGTAACTCAAACATTCCTTCTCAATGAGGGAAAAAACAACTTGTCTAAAAAGATATATACTAGTTCATTATATGTGTTAATAATGAAAATAGTAGAACATGTCTGAGAATGCTTTTTCAAGAGCTGTGTAGGGATGGAAATCTGAATTAAGCTTTGGAATGGCAAACATCAGAACTGACACTGCATTAATAAGCAGGAAAGCAAATTATGCTGACATGAGATCTTCAATCTTCTCTCCTGTGGCTTTCATGGCTCTTGAAAGGAGTCTGGTGCTTACTAAGACCACTGATTTGTACTAAGGAGTGTTTGCACCTTGTGTCTTCCCTTGTGCTGAAATAGCTGAGTAAATGCTTTGATTCCCTCATGATACTTATGGGACTTCTTTTCTAATGTGTCTTTTCCTATGTCTAAAAAGATTCGAGTCCTGACTAAAGGCTTTGCCACACTCATAACACTTGTGGGGCTTCTCACCAGTATGGGTTCGTCGATACTGAATCAGAATCATGCTTCGGCTGAATGCCTTTGCACACTCGTCACACGCATAAGGTTTCTCTCCACTGTGGATTCTCTGATGTAAAAAAAAGGGCTGAGCTCTGACTAAAGATTTTGCCACATTCATCACATTTGTGTTGTTTTTTTCCGAGACGGGTTTCCTTGTCTCCTTTCAAGCCTACCATCTTGTTCATAGGTTGCTCTATATGTGGAACTCTGGGAGGCACTGATATAAAGGATGTTAGAGACATCGCAATGCAGTTCTATGCCTAAAGAAGTCTTCTGCCTTGCTGCGGATTTCACGTTTGTAGTTTTGATGTCTTCATCTGAAATAGAAAAACGAAAGTCATCAGGAAAAAGAAAGAATGATCCAAATGAAATATACATGATTATTGCTAGCATGTTTATAAAACAACACACAATGTGAAGGATGGAGAGTGTAAGACAAAATATTGAGAAGATTATATAAGACAAAGAGAAAGGTTTACATACTGAGGAGGCAGTCAACTAAACTATAAAGATGAAAAGTACTACGGAAAAGACAGAATAGGGAATAAGGATAAAAAGACATCAGAAACTAAGGAAAGTCTGGAAGGAAAGAAAGGGCTTAAAAAGAAGAAATGATTGGAGACACAGAGACAGCTTGAAGGAGAGGAATCCAATGTGCCAGTGGGAATAAGAAACAAGATTTAGTACTGGGGTATCAATAAACAAATAAAAGCTTAATAATCATAAAGGAATAACTATACAAAGAAATGAGCTGGAGAAAGCCAAGGGGCCAAAAAGGAATGTGGAAAATAAAGTAAGAAAATATAAGTTAGGCAAATAAAGGGAAGAATATAGACTAGGATAACCAGTACCTCAAAAGATCAAGGGTAGCACAGTACCCATCGATGAAAAACCTCTACTCCTGTATGGATTTTATATTACTGGTTGAATGGCTGTTTGCTGTATTATTTTGTATTACTTTTAACATCTATGAAAAATGTACATGGCTGCTTATGGGCTGCAGTCACTCAGGCGGCACACAAATCTGGCTTGATGCAGAGGGCCTTATGACTCAGGGTGCCTAAAGCTCCAGCAGAACTGCTAACTCAGATGTGAAAATGCCAGTGTAATGTGGATGCATTACCTGAAGAAATCACTTTAGTTATCCTCATGGTGGCATTTTAACTGAAGCTGCTGAAAGACAGGAGCTTAAAATGAGTTTATAAAAGCAAAGTACAACAGTTTTGGACATATCTGGGGACATGACTTGGCTGGAGCTAAAGTAATTATATAAATAAGATTAAAAGCAACCCAGAGAGGCACTGACAATAAGTGATCCCCTGGGCCCTCTCAAAGCCTAATCAAAAGGATGGGGTGAGAAAGGTGGTCTGGGGAGAACAGTTAGTGATGGAGTGTGATACTGAATAAGAAAACTGAGTTGTTATTTTACTCTTTAGAATTTATTTAAAATGGATCTACCTGCTGTCTCTACAATCTCCTTAGAATCACCCAACATCAGCTCAAATCTTAACATAAGCCCTTCCCAATTCCTTCTTAATAACACACCCCATAGTTTCTGTGCTGTGTTCTCTTTCTTGCTGCAGCAAACTAAATAAACCTAACTTAAAAAAAAAAAACTACATAAAAATCAAATCAAATCAAATCAAATGGGTCTAAATAGTTATCACAAAAGGAATTTAAAATTATTTCTTGTATTTATTCACAAATGTGGAAATTCTCAGTCCATTTTCTGTTGCTTAGAATACCTGAATTTGAGTAATTTATTTATAAAAAGAATTTCTTATAGTTATGGAGATGGAGAAGTCCAGAGTGGAGCATCTGGTGAGAGCCTTCTTGCTGGTGGAGACCCTCTGAAGAGTTCTGAGGCACTGAAGGGCATTTCTCAGTGACAGGTCTGAGCATATTAATATGCTAACTCAGCCCTTTCTTCCTGTTCTTATAAAATTACCAGTTCTACTCCTATGATAACCCATGAACTCATTAATCCACGAACGAGTTAATCCATTCATGAGGGCAGGGGTGATAATCCAATTGCCTCTCAAAGGCGTCACTTCTCAATACTGCCACACTTGCGATTAAGTTTCAACATCAGTTTTGGAGGACACAAATATTCAAACCATAGCATATGGCATACTCATTTATTGTTACTAGTTTAAGTGGAAATCATTTTATAAATGGTAAGGATTCTGTCTCAAATTCATTTTTGCTAGTTTATATTCCAAAGTGACCTCAATGATTAGTCATTACTATCAAAATCCTGGCATCAATTAATACTTTACAGCACTGAGACCAAGATCATCTCCCAGAAGCTTTGATAAGACATGACTCAGTACTGCAGAAATCATGTTGTGGCCTTAAGAAATGGTTCTATTATTCTATCACATGATGCTGGTTCTCTCTGCCGTGTACTACAAGATCCTGCACCCTTTGCATTCTGTTTCAAATTTCTATGAATCTTTAAAAAAAATGTAGGAAAGGCCTCCATGAGGACATTCACAGGTAGGATGTGGTTCTTGCCACACCTGGCTTTGAGGCTGATACTTCTGTAGTCACCGCCACACCAAGCTGCTGAGTCTGGGATGGTCTCCCTCTCTTTTCTGATGGAAAATACTTTTTCGTGAAAAGACTTTCACTTTTCTAAGTAAACTAAGACAATTTCTGGACTGGAGGTATTATGTGTCCCAGTATAAGCCTTCTAAGAGTCAGTACTTGCCAAGTTAGGGTAAGCAATGTTTTCTAAATCTTTCTAAATTACTGTATTTTCTTTGTGTAGTTTCTTATAAAAATTCCCTTGGAAAAACTCTAACCTTGCTTAGCTATCAGCCACTCCTGAACTATGGAAGCAGTGCTGGAGGGAGGGAAGGCGATGCTCCCAAGTAGGATTTCCCTCTTAATCTCTGGCTCCTATTTTATCCAGGATGATCATCTAGAAGGAAGGTCTCTGCTCAAACGGTGCTTCATCAGAGAGGCCTTCCTACCACTCTATATAATAAGATCCTATCCCCGCTATTCTGTTGACAGTAGTGTGGCCCTTTTATCAAATGAAATTTTATATTGAGTTCTAATATGTAAAACAGATGAAAACACAGCTACTCTGTCTGAAGCAGGAGCAAGTAGTCACAACCTATAAGGCCTCTAACTCAGCCTTATTTCCACTTCTTACCTTCATCTAACCCCCTTACACTTTGTTTTGTTTTTATTTTTTCCCCATAGCACTTATTTGTTTAGTATTTGCAATGGAAGAACAGATTGCTACACAGCTATTCTGGAGCACTTATAGAAAGCAATGCAAAAATCAGTTGAGGCCATTTGAGGATGTGAGGGAGTAGAGAAATGTATTCAAAGAATGTATGAGAACAAAGTCACCTGAGCAGCAATATGGGCAATTTTGCTACTAGATCCCACCAGTAACTGAGCAGTCATACAGGAAATGATGATGAGGATCAGTGGTCTCTGGGTTGTGTACCTTGGGGTCCCACAGACAAGCCTCAAGGGCTGCCTGAAGATAAAAGGGCTACTTTAAAAAGGCATGAAAACCCTGATGGAGATGTCAGGGATTTAATATCTGAAGATTTTATAAGAATCTCTGAAAAAGAAGAACAGAATACTGAAGATCTTCATTTAGTAGGACAAATAACAGAAGTTTCCACAGTAAGAAGATGACAGCGGGAGATTTGAGGCCTCTTGCATAAATCAGCCGAGATATGTGTGGTGAGCAGAGGGCCCCTACACCTTCCACCATGAACTGAATCCTGCCCCCTCACCATGCGGTCTTAAGGACTGAAGCTCCCATGATGCTCCCTGGAGCTACTTCTTCATGGGCATGAGCTGGCTTCTTGGCAATTCCTCAGTGATTTCTGAAGGTGCTAGCTTCTCTGCAATCATGTCCTTCCTTTGTCCAAAAAAGACCTAAAAACAGGAATAACTGAGGCTGAAGAACACCATGAGGTTGCGACTTGAGGATAAAATAACAGAGAATAAACTATGCAAAAACTATCATGGACACAGGAAAAGGGAGGTAAAAAGTAGAGCCACCTTCTATTTGCTGGGACACCCATTAGTAATTTCACCCCTAAACATCCAGTTGTGCTGACTGGGAATACAGTTTGAGAGCTCTACGCCCAATGATGTGCCAGCACTCTTGACTCAGCCTGGGGCTTCATCTCCACAGGAATCCTTCTTACCTGCTCTGGTCCATCAAGCTCTCTCTCCACATCCTCCAGCATAGTCACAGCTTCCTCTCCATTCTCTGGATGATGCTTCTGCACCCAGGCCTGTAGCTCTTTTGGGAGGATGGCCAGAACTGCTCCAGCACCAGCAGCTCCAGGATCTGCTCCTTGGTGTGCACCTCCGGCCTCAGTCAGAGATGACAAAGTTCCCAGAGTCGGCTCAGAGTCTCCCCGGGCCAAGGTGAATCCTGGTAGCCAAACTGCCTGAACTGCTGGTGGAAGGTCTCTGGGCTGTAACTGCTGCTCCAGTGGAGGTTAGAGTCCAGATCACAGGTCTGTTCTTCCTCTTCCATCTTCACTGTCAGAATCTCATTACACTCCTCTGAAGTTTGTGTTAGGAGTGATGATGACTTTCCCAATTTTGCAGACATTTTGACAGACAAATAGCTCAGTACTGTGGGGCTTTAATCCTCAAGGAGGTAAAGCTCTCCTTATGGACACTCCTTAAATATGATTAAAGAAATAAGTGGAAAGAAGACAAAAGACAAATGCTTCTTACAACAAAACAACTAAGATTAGAAACATAAGACTGTATAGGAAATACTGACCTTAGTTTTAACAGAAATCATGCTTTTATTTATTTATTTATTTATTTATTTATTTATTTATTTATTTTTTGAGATGGAGTCTTGCTCTGTTACCCAGGCTGGAGTGCAGTGGTGTGATCTCAGCTCACTGCAACCTCTGCCTCCTGGGTTCAAGCAATTCTCATGCTTCAGCGTCCTAAGTAGCTGGGGCTACAGGTACCCGCCACCACGCCTGGCTAATTTTTGTATTTTCAGTAGAGATGGGTTTCACCATGTTGGCCAGACTACTCTCGAACTCCTGACCTCAGGTGATCCGCCTGCCTCCTGAAGTGCTGGGAGTACAGGCATGAGCCACCACGCCTGGCCCAGAAAACATGCTTTTGAAGAATACTTCTTTAAGAGAACCAAATAGCTAAGACTCATTAATTCGTATGCATAAGCGATTCACAACTCATTCTGAAAACCATGCCCACAAGGCTACTGAGTATTACAATAAGAGATCACCTAGGATTGCATAGAAGTTCTCAGATAATGGAAATAAGGGAAGCCTGAGAAATGCTATGACTCTGGAGCCAGTTCAAAGAGCCAATCAGTTTTCAGTTTGCTGCAAAGAGCTCAAAGAAATAGTCTCATGAGGGAAGTACTTTCAGCTTTTACTGTTAAAACATTACTTCCACATTAAAGGAACCATTGCAACAAAACAAAACAAAACAAAACCCAATCAGCTGGGCACTGTGCTTGTGCCTGAAATCCCAGCACTTTGGGAAGCCGAGGTGGGAGATGGGAGGATCACCTGAGCCCAGGAGCTTGGGACCAGCCTATGCAACACAGTAGGATCCCATCTCTATTAAAAAATAAATAAATAAATAAATAAAAAGAAAAAAGAAAAACAACAACAACAAAGGCAACCGCACATTCCTTTATCTGAATCTATTTCCATTTTTTCCATATCCATATTATTTACTTAACTATGTATTTTAAAATACTTAGGTTGTTTCTAATTTCACTATTATAATTAATGCTGGGAGGCACATCTTTATGAATATACGATTTTTCTCCTTTCAAAGTATTTCTTTCAAGCATGTCCCAAGCCTCTGCTTGTTGAGGATCAAAGGAGAATAGCAAATTCTGTCTTGCTATGTATTATCAAAATATTGCAAAAAAGACTGTATCAATTCACAATACCATCACAATCATAGTGACTTGTGAGGGCAACGATTTCTTCAAGTAGTATTAGCTCGTTAGCAACAAAGGGGTGGGGATGGCACTTCTCTTTGTATCATTTTACTCGTAAGTATCATCAGTAACTAATCGCATTTTTTTGTTGTTGTTTTGTTTTTTTTTTTTTTTGAGACAGAGTCTGGCTCTGTTGCCCAGGCTGGAGTACAGTGGCGGGATCTTGGCTCACTGCAGCCTCTGCTTTCCGGGTTCAAGTGATTCTCCTGCCTCAGCCTCCCAAGTAGCTGGGATTACAGACGTGTACCACCACGACTGGCTAAGTTTTATAATTTTAGTAGAGACGGGCTTTCACCACGTTGGCCAGGCTGGTCTCAAACTCCTGACCTCAGGTGATCCATCTGATGGATCCATCTCGGCCTCCCAAAGTGCTGGGAGAACAGGCGTGAGGCACCGCACCCGGGCTAATCACATTTTTTAAATTGGGCAGGAGGTATATGATAGTGTTTGTACAACTTCAGCAAATGATGACTACTTTAAAAATCTTACGTGCACCTCCATCTTCCCTTGTTATGTATCCTGCCATTTGATTTTTTTTTTCACTTCAAGTACTGTTCTAGGTACTGAAGAAACACCAGTGTCCTGTATAAAGCCTGTGAGTTCATAAAGCTTGTTACCAAATAAACGATACAACTTTACACAATGATGTGCTATGAAACAAACAATAGCAGACACACATTAAGAGAATTTACTATGTGCCAAGCACTGTTTTAAACACCTTAGTAAAAATAAACAAAGGTTAAATCCTCATAAAAGCTCTAGATTATTTTTACCCCCATGTTGTAGATGGGGAAGCAGTCACAGCAAAGCCAGGTACTCTGTCCAAGGGCAAGCTGGGGTCTGAATCCCGGCCGTCCACACTTACCCATGGTGCTGTGTGGTTAAGAGGCCATAGGCAGCAGGAGCCCCTGGGGCGACCACTGCGCGTTTTCTCTGCGCAGAGGAGGAAGCGGCAGCAGGCAGCCGCACTCCCAGATGAAGACCGGTCGGAAGAGTCTGGGGAACGAGACCCGAGAGATGGGAAAGGTTGAGGTCACCGGTTTGGAGCCGTCAGGTACCCTAAGGGATATATGAGGGACCCCGGGGCTAAAGCAGCCTCTGGAAGAGAGTGGCCGCCCTGTCACTTCAGTGCCAGGCGCAGAATCTGGGCTAAACCTGAGAGGGGGGAAGAAACCCCCGACACCGCACGACGGCCAGAAAGAACTGGGTCCGCGGCGGGGAGGCTTTGGTCAAAGCCTGAGACGCAGGGGTCTTTCCGCAGGGGACGCCGCTCTTGGCTCCACCCTGCTGTGGCGGGCGGGCTACGGGAGGGCTGACTTCCAACAGTCTCCGGACCTCCCGCGCCCATCGCGCCGCGCCGTGCGCCTCCCAGGCTGGGAACCGCCGGGGCGAAGCGGCAGGTGGCGCGTGGTGCCAACGGGCGGCGCGTGGGGCCGGCAGGGGGCGTGGGTTCAGCTGGGAGGGCAGGCGCCGGCGTCCGCCGGGGAAGGACGAGGGGAAGGGGTGCGCGAACTCCCGGGCAGACAGCGAGGTGGGGGCAGCGGCGGGGAGGGGCTTGGGGATCTGGGACTGTGTAGAGGGTGCTGCACTGGCGCGCGGAGGTAGGGGTGGCGCCGAGTCCGCCGTCGCCTCTCCGCGTCCCCCTTCCACCGCCCGGGGACCGCCGCTTCTGACCGCGGCCTGGGGGCCCTAAAGAGGCCTCGGGTCTCACCTCCCGGCAGAGAAGCGCCGACCCAGACACCGTCGGGGAGAAATCGGGGAACTGCACGCTGCGCAATACCTTCCAGTTCTGGCGGCGGGTGGGGGCGGGGCCCGGGACGCTGGGACGTTGCCACGGAGACAAGCCGCCGCGGCCGCGCGCTTGGGGGAGAGAGAACTGGGAGGCTCGACCGGTGGGAATCCAGCTGCTCTGCTCAGTGTTCCGTTCGGTAAACTAGCATTGTTGCTTCGGAAAGTACTTTTGCTTACATTATTCATTTACTTCGATAACTCAGTAAGGTTATTCCCATTTTACAGAAAATAAACTCAAATGTCCTGTGAGTTGCCAAGGATTACAGAGAGGGGCGAATGCTGTGCTGTCTACCACTGAGTACAATCCCCAGTACCATTCCCACTCCTGAAGTGGTTACACTCCAAGTACTGACGGTTTAAGGGACGGGTTTGACATCCGCAACCCCCATGCTTTCACAGAACACAATGGCCCTTGAAAAAGTGAGAACTGACCCACGTAAAATTTGTCACAATACATACACATTTATTTCTTCAGATAATCTTAACCGCAATTGAAAAATAAGTTTGAGGCCGGGTGCGGTGGCTCATGCTTGTAATCCCAGCACTTTGGGAGGTCGAGATCGGCGGATCACATGAGCCAAGGAGTTCGAGACCACCCTGGGCAACATGGCTAAACCCCATCTCTACAAAAAATACAAAAATTAGCCGAATGTAGAGACGCATGCCTGTAGTCCCCGCTACTTGGGAGGCTGAGGGGTGAGGATCACCTGAATCTGGGGAGATGGAGACTTCTGTGAGTCATGATTGCGCCACTGCACCCCACCCTGGGCTGCAAAGTGAGACCGTCTCAAAAAAATAAAAATAAAAATAAATTTGAGCCTAAATGCATCACAGCCCCACCCTGTGACTTCCTCCTCTCGCCCCTTTCCCTAGGGACTCCTGGAAAATGTACTTGTACTCGTAACTGAGGAATTAGGGAGAGGACAGAGATGCTTGAAAAGCACTTGTTAATTAATAAACAACAATAACAAAAAAATCTCTTTTGGTATGACGTCCCCCCAAAAGTATGTTAGTACTGGAATCTGAAGTGAAGAAAGAAGAGGCTGGTTTACTCAGTCTATGACGCTAGGGGACTAGGGAGAGATTTGGATCCCAATTAATGTACAATAAAACTAAATTTGAAGAAATTCTTGCTTCAAACAAAGGGCTTTCACAGGATAAGACTTCTCGCTGAGGCAGCTGCCAACACAAATAGCAAACAGCCCAAAAGTGCCGGTGGGAATGTGTTTCTGGTGCTGGTGGGTAGGGTAGGTTAAATGACTCAGGTCAGTGGATAATTTGAAACGAGGGCAAGGCTTGGCAGTGGCGTGATGTAACAGGAGATAATTTAAGGAGAATATGAACAACATTCAAAAGCTTCAAGGAGAAGGAGGAACTGTGGGATGTGGCAAGAGGTCAGGGATGATGAATTCATGGGTATGGTCCACCAAACAATCAGAAATCAGAGGCCAAAGTTAACAACAACAACAAAAAGGGAGCAGACATAAAAGATTGATTAGAAAAGTTTCACAGTCAGGTAGGTAGAGCAAGAACAGGTTTTTGTTTGCTGTTTTAATTTTTTTGTTAATGTTTGGGGGTAAAGTGAAAAGAAATTAGCAGCAGTCAATTCCCAGTAGAGTGAGCACCTACTATATACCAGTTGTATGGTAAACATGGGGAATTCAATGGTAAAATGTAGATTCTCGCCCTTTAGGGGCTAATACACTAATTAAAGAGAAAGATGTATAAATGGACATTTCTAAACAATGTGGCAACATTCTGATGGAGATAACTGCAGGATACTATAAAAGCACAAAGAGAGGGAGGTCCTGGGAGAGACTGGGATTGGAGTTGATGGAGAAGGCTGGGATTGTAGTTGATGGAGAAGGCTGGTGTTGACACATTTGAGACTGAGCTACCAGTGTGGGATGTTGTTTAGATTTGCTGGATTAAAGGACAGCGGGATAAGTGACTGAGGATGAGGCTGAAGAGGCAAACAGCAGCCT